GAGAGAGAGAGAGAGAGAGAGAGAGAGAGAGAGAGAGAGGCTGCATTAGACAACAATGTCAATTTCCTGTCCGACAGCGATGTCCATAGATAGATCAACCAGTTTGGATGTCAAATAAAAAAACCTTCACATTGAAAAATTTGTAAGTTTTCTCATCCTTAATTAAGAAACATTGCCATCTTTTATTATTATTATTATGGTGGATTGTTTGGATGGAGTTAACATACTAAAAGCAAAGTCCAATTCTACCCTTCCAAAATTCTCTTGCTGATCCAAAGGTTTTCCTGTATCTCTCGCAGCAGTAAAAAATTACTTCCATACAATAAGCAAACTTGCAATCCGAGCTTCTCCTTATTCATGAAGAGAAGGGGTTTTCCATGAGTGTGGTATGAGAGAAAATGTTTACCTTTGGTAGAAAGAGAAATGGCATTGGCCTTACAAAAATGCCGCCTAAAGCTGCCATGGATCCGCATAGGGCTGCCATGGATCCGCATAGGGCTGCCATGGATGGGGTTTGAGCTTCTTTGGTCTTTTGCAACCCGAGCTTCTCCTTATTCATGAAGAGAAAGGGCTTCCCATAGGTGTGGTATGAGAGAAAAGACTTGCCTTTTGTAGAGAGAGAAAAATCCTTGGCTTTATAAAGACGTCGCCTAGGGCTGCCATGGATGGAGCTTGAGCTTCTTTGGGTTTTTACAACCTGAGCTTCTCTTCATTCATGAAAAGAGAGGGGTTTCCCATGGGTGTGGTATGAGAGGAAAGGCCTGCCTTTTGTAGAGAGAGAAAGGGGCCTGACTTTATAAAGACACTGTTTAGAGCTGCCATGGATGGGGTTTGAGTTTCTCTGGCTTTTTGCAATCAAGCTTCTCCTTATTCATAAAGAGAAGGGGCTTCTCATAGGTGTGGTATGAGAGAAAAGGCTCGTCTTTTGTAGAGAGAGAAAGGGTCATGGCTTTATAAAGACGCCTCCTAGGCCTGCCTTGGATGGGGCTTGAGCTTCTTGTTTTTTTAGACAGAGAAAATGAAAATGTTCTCTTTCATAGAAAGAGAATAGATTTGGGGTTTCTGAGGTTTCACAGAGTTGTTGGGTCACGGGTTGAGGTTTGTGCATGGGGTGAGAGAGCTGCAGTTTCATAAAAAAATTTCCAGTTTGACTTGAATTTTTTCTTACGGTAACTTTTGCCTTGATACTGTAATGTTTTTTATTTTAATCTAAAAATCTAACAAAATCTTGAGGTTGTCCAAATGGTTAAAATTTGTTTTACAAGATTTTTGAATTGCAATAAAAAAATATCGCAATTTTGGGCACATCCAAACTGGCACTAAATAGTAAAATAAATTATCCATCGATTACTTGTTGAATAACCGTTGAATATGCATGAGATACCAATAGAACGCTTTTCATATGTTGTATGATAAAATTCTTTTAATGCTTTATGAACCATTCTTGATTGAGCATTATGAAGATTTTTAGACGATCCATGTGCGGTTTTTTGAGTTTATTCATCATATCTGGACTCTACGCAGGAACCTGCACTGGAGAACATGGTGTTGGTACGGGAAAAATGAAGGTTAGTTTAATAAGCTTGCATCTATCGTCATGCTTCAAATGGTCTTGTCTTGTCATAGATAATTGGTTGGGTGAATAACCTATTATATTGGGTTTACTGTGTGCAAGTTTTCACTTTTTGTGTGGGTGCATGTCCCCTGTGTGGAGGATCAAACGTATTGCAGTTGTGATCTCTCTCTCTCTCTCTCTCTTTCACACTCACGCACGTACATTTTGTTATCAAGGCTGGATGGACTTGCCGGTCTGACTTCAAAGCAAAATCAAGTTTGATAAAAAACCAGTCAAAATCAATATTTGGCCGATTTTGACTACTCAAACCAGTAACACTAGATTAACAATTTATTTGAATTATGTTTCATTTCTTTTTAAAATTTTTTATTCCATATTTTATTTATTTTTTCAAAATCCATTCCAACCAATGCAATCGATGGTTCAACCGATTTTCATTAAACCAAACTCGTAAGCCATTTCGACCTAACCCTTGTAACCTATTAGGTGGTTGGTTTGATTCTAATAACACTAGTGTGTATTGTTGCATGCACGTGTCACAAGATTTGTCTAGAAGCATCTATCATCCGTATCTGATTTGTAACATTGACATGATCTGAGAAAATTCCTGCTTGATAATTTCAGTACCTTGAAAAGGAGCTGGGAATAGAGGCACTGAGAACAATGAAAAGGATAAAGACCGCCTTGGATCCCAATAATATTATGAATCCAGGGAAGCTCATCCCTCCTCATGTTTGTTTTTAGTTTCGATTTGTATAATGAGTTTCACTTTTCTGTACACAATATGAATAGAAAAATAGACACTAGACAATAGTGCTATCGAAAATGACAAGAGAGAGAAACTTGGCGATGGCCGGCTCCGGCTAGCCATCCATATGTTTGTAATGTTATTTATACTAGTGGATTTATGTGCCTTGCACGTAATAGACCAATTTAAACATGTATTGGAGAAAGTGAACTTCTCATGTTGAATAAACATGGTATTTTTATTTAGAGAGGTTAAGAATAATATTGCAGTGGAATATTCAAGACATATTAAAAATAGGTTTGGGCGCAACATATTATGCATTGATGTTTTTTATATGCAAATATTGTTATATTAATATGAAATTTGTAATGGCCCAGGTAAGAAGAGAGGGGGAGAAAGATTTATTGACACGTTTGAAGCTAAAA